GAGATAACACCAGGGAACCCGCTTCAGTCGTCAAACTTGCGAAAGGTCCAGTGCATGTACTGGAGTTGGCAAGAGCTCGGCTTCCCAACTTTACAGAATGAGCTCTCATGGTTCACAGCGTGTGCCTTGAGGGCCAGCGAGGTTCAGAGACTACCAGGCGGGATGGCAGAGCTGTACAAATATGTGCTCCGCTTTTTTCTGGGCCACCCGCGGAGCCGAGACCTTCGACACGGCGTTGCGTTTTTCGTTCCAGGTGAAGGCGCCGCGAGGATCTTGCATGGCGCGGTGTCGGTGCACATCGCCGACGAGAGGGCGCACAAATTTGCGACTGGTGCGAAGGGGGCCACTGGTATAAAGTTGTGCGGCAGGTGTCGAAACGTGTGTGTTCACTGGAGTAGCCTCATCCCTGACAGTGGCAATTACCTCATCGGCAGCGATTGCACGGACGTGGGGAAGTACGATCTGCACACCGATGAAGGCATCCATGAGATACAAGCGAGGCTGGCAGAGTTGAATGCGAATAACCCGAGCCGCTTGGCTGATATGGAGACCTTGTTCGGCTTTGCCTACATCGAGACTTCATTTCTACAGGGCCCTGATTTGAAGTTTCCCCTGGCTTCCTGCTGGGCGTGGGACTGGATGCATTGCTACTTGATCGGAGGGGTTTTCGCCACGGAGTTCGAGCTGCTGATGGGCCAGCTGCAATCGGTATACCTTGGGGCTTCCGCCTTCCACGCCTACCTTCAAAAGTGGGAGTGGCCGAAAGGGTATGCGCATGCTAAAAAGGTTTGTTTGACGGGTGATGGGCACGACCCCAATGGATCGGCGTCTGAACTAGTGAGCGTGGTACCCGTACTGGAAAAGTTTCTGTCTGACGTTGTTCTACCCTCGGGCGCGTTCCCCGATCATGTGGCGAGTGGCTTGGCTGCTTGCCATGTGATCTCGCTGCTGTCGGTAGCAAACAGTCAGTGCGTAACGCCCGCCGAGCTGCACGATGCTATACAGTTGCACTTGACACTGCAGAAAAAGTGTTACAGCCTCAAGTCGTGCTGGAAACCGAAATCGCATTGGGTTACCCATTTACCTGAACAGATGGAGTCCCAAGGAATGCTGCTCAGCACGTTTTTACACGAACGTAAGCACAGGGTGGTCAAAACAATGGCCACAGGGCGCCATTCGACCACAGCTTACGATCGTGGGCTGATGGAAGAAGTTACGGTCCAACACCTTTCAGACCTCAAGCACAAAATCAGGGGTATCGACCTGCTGTCCCCCAGGCCGCCCAGCCGTAGGATGCTCGATGCTCTGAAAAGTTGCTTGTGGATTGATCCATCTTGGGAAGTTGTCACAGCTAGGTGCGCTTCGATCCACAGTAGGGTGATACAGATGGGGGACGTTGCAGCTTTCACGTTCGCCGACGGCACCGTCGGCTTCGTCCACGTTTGGTTTCACGTGCGAGTCAACCACCACTTGCTTAGTTGTGTTTCGCGGTGGCCGACGCTTGAGATGCGAGATAATCACGCGACGTGTGTTGTAGATAGCTCGCCCGTGCTCGTTCGGTCCACACATCCCATTGAACCTTGCATTTACTCTGCTGCGCCTGAAGGCCAGAGAACGTCAGTTCTTTTTTCCAGGGCGGCTCCGAGTGAGAGCCGCCCGAAAGCTCACTTGAATAACGGAGGGAGTGGGAGGAGGGAGGAAAGGAATAGTATATACCCGCCGTACACCCCACCCCACACCCCTCCCCCCTCCCCTGTGGAGGGCGGGTCTCACGGTATACCTGAGGGAGGGGGGCAAGGGGATGGGAAGGGATGAGAGGGGAGAGAGGGTGGGATAAGGGATGGCGGGGAGGAGGGAGGGAGGGGTACAGCGAACGAAAGAGGGGTGGTCCTGAGGGGATTGCACCGCCGTCGTCATTGTCACCAACATCATCGCCATTATGTTCACCATCATCGTCATCATCATCACCGTCGACCGTGTCGCCGTCGTCGTCATCGTGATTATCATCACCTTCATCGTCACCACCATCGCCGTCATCATCATCAGCATCATCGCATCGACGTCGTCATCGTCATTGTTTTCGTCGCAATCATCGTCGTCATCATCATCCTTATCATCATCATCGTCAGCATCATCATCATCCTCATCATCGCGATCACCACCATCATCATCGTCAGCATCATCTTCCTCATCATCACGACCACCATCATCATCATCGTCATCACCATTATGATCATTACACTCGCTATCGTCATGATGAGGGAAGCAACGTGAGGGGCGGGGGAATGGAACGACGGCGGTGATGACGGGGAGGGCGGGAAGGACTGAGGGAAGGGATGGGAATGGGGATTGGAAGGGAGCGAAGGGAGGGATGGACGGAGGGAGGGAGTGGGGAAATGATGGGTGGGTGGAGGAATCGGCGGGGTGGAGGCATGGGAGGAAGCGGGAGGATGAAGGGACAGGGGTGAGAGAAAAAGGGGGGTCGGAGGGGGGAGGGAGGGAAGGGAAAGACACGGAGTATAGACGGGAAAGGAATGAAGGGTAATGGCGAGGAGGGCGGGATCGCTCAAACTCAGAATTGCGAGGAAGCCTCGAGCGGGGGCCGCTTTTCTGCTCTCATTCAGACTCGTGTGAGGATGTCTCGAGCGGGTGTCGTTTTCCTTGCCCCCCAAGAGGGGATGGGGGGGAAATGAGAGGAACGAGAAGAGGGGAGGGGCGATGCACTCCCGTTGCTTGGCTGCTGCTATTGTGTTCGGCCGTCGAGACCGATGGACAGAAAAAATGATGACGCAGGAAAAAAAGAGCTGGCCAAACTCACAAAATAAAACACTGGCGGGGAAAAAACAACAAGTTATAACGAAAAACAGCAATATCATGTTGTTAAAATATGTGTTCGATTCGCGAATCTTGGTTTTCAAAACACTAGTGTATGATTTTTAGCATAAAATGCCTAAAAATGTGAGGCCCGCCAAGTAGGTTAGGGTCCATTTGCTAAGTGGGTTAGGGGTTGCGCTAAGTAGGTTCGCGGGGGGAGGCTAAGCCAGATAGCGCGCTTAGCAGAAAGCTGCCAAGTTGGTTACTTAACCAGGTTCAAAGCGAGTACAAGTGCGTTAGAGAACTGCAGTTCGCTAATCCCGCTAAGCTACTGATTAAGTGCTTCTATCGCCCCGAACATGTTAGTAAGGCCAGTGAGGCTCCCAGAACACTTACCAAAAACCAAAAGAAAATCAATGAATTTTGCATCTTGGGGCCTTTTTGAGAGTGCTCTTGGAGGCTTTTTGGCACGTTTCGGAGAGATCTTTGGGGTATGACGGGTTCTTTGGGGTCGTCGTGGACCGTTTTGGGGCTTTTTGGAGTCGTTTCGAAGGCACGCCGGAACGCTTGGAGCCCTCTGGGGCCGTTTTCGGGCTCTCGTGGGTTTTTTTCCGGGTCGTCTGGAGGGTTGCCCGAGAGGTCCAGGGTGAGCCAAATTAGTTGGGTCCGGATGTGTGTGTGTGTGTATGTGTGTGTGTGCGTTTTTTTTCTGGGGTCCCCGGCCCTGTAAGAATATATGACTTGGAATATGTGCACACACATACATAGGTACTTCATTCGATATAATTCGATTTATGTATCGTTATTTCAATATCTCTCCTGATCTCTGCACATATATGTATATGCACAGCTGGAAAAAAGTTAGAACAACATCAACAATACGATCATCTTGAATGATCTGCGGACGGCAACGGCCAAAGAGGATCATTAAGTGAGACTCGCCTTTCAATGTTGGCAGCGTGCGCAGGCGTGCACCATGAGCCAGGTTATTGGTATGCCATGCTTTGGCTTGCGCGCCTGGTGGCAACGTTGGGAAGCGGATGCCGTTTCATGCAAGGATGTTCTTCCAAGCTAATCCTTCACAGGGCCGCTGGTGTGGGCGAGTCCACGTTCTGCCTCGCGGTTTTGTTCCCACAGTCGGATGGCGAACATGCACCGCGCAATGCAGACGATACGTTCTTCCGTAACACTGGCGGGCGGATGCCATTTGATGCGACGGGCACTGCCTGGTCTGATTTAACATCGTGTCGGCTTCCATCCCTGCGCCACTGTTGTTAAACACGTTTTCACGAAGATGCATGTATATGTATTTGCGCATGTATATGTAGATGTAGATGCATATGCGCATGTACATGTGTGTATGTGTACATGTATGTGTTCATGTGTCTGGGTGGTTATGTCGCGCATCTATGCATATGCACACGTATATATATATATATATATATCATACTCATTTGTTATATACAGGTAAGTTAATGCTTTTGTGTTCGTTCTCCTCCCCAGCCTAAATCTGCTCCCAGGCGCATTCCGCCACCGTCCCCGAGCTGCGTCCACACATGGGGACGACGAGGGGCCGGAGCACCCTCGGGCAGAAGGGGGCCCTGGATCGCGGAGGTCCCCAGAGGCACCGAGAGGCAGATGAAAGGAAGCCAATGAGCCCAGAAACTTCGATCCTCGATCGTTGATCGTCGACGAGGAGCGGGAGGAGATGGGGTAGGAGGGGGGGGGAGTAGGTGAAAGAGGCCGGAGGATGTTCGAGGATTTAATCCTCCCTTACCCGACCCTTGTTCAAGGCCACTCGCGTGCCATTCCGGCCATGGGGTGGGGCCGCGTGCAGCACGGTGCGCCGCAGCATGCTGTTTAGTAGTTCGGTGCACACGGCGATTGGAAGTCCGCGCGGGGGAGCAAAGAGCCTGTTTCTTACACTCCGGCAAGTTTGCTTGCATGGACGGGGGGGGGCTTGAACCTGAAGTCAGCCGCAAACGACTAGTACGTGCGGAAACCACGCAAGTGGGCAGGCATTTGCACGGCAATAGTTTGTTATTCGTGTGAAGAAGGGCAGGGGGGGGGGGGGCGAACGCAACGCCATGCAAGCAAACTTGCCCGATTCTAAGCAAACAGGCTCAAAGGGGAGGGGGAGGATCTCATGCCTCATCTTCCCTGGGCGCCACAACTGGCCAGCGGAGGACCAGTTCATGAAGCTCATCTCGGGCTTCGGCGACTTGCCCCGCGAGGCGGACGGGGGGGCAGCGCACGAAGCGACGGCAGCAAGGGGGCACAGGAACCAGCGGGCAGTGCGGTATGTTCGTGCCGGGTTGACCCGGCGGCCCTGGCGCGGGCGCTCGTCAGCGGCACCGTGGCGGGTACTCACCGAGGGGTATTCTGACAAGCTGCCGAAGGTTGCCACTTCAGGTCCTGTTTCTGGCATTGCAGCGTTGCCCACATCGGGGAGGGTTGGGTTCGCCGGGCCACTGGCCAAAGTACCCCTTCGGTGGGGGCATTGGATAAGGAACCGTTGGATAGGGAATCCAGAGCCTGGAAGCCGGTGGAACACCAATCGTGGATTGGAGTGGAGTCCCCGTTGGAAGGGCATGTTCGCGGCTGAATCCCCAGTGGCCCGGAATCGGCAGACATCGGACGACCCGCGCCATCGGAAAGCCGCAATGGGGATCAAGGTTGAGCGACCCGCGCGGCGGTGCGAGACACCGACGCGCCAGTCCTCGCGGCAAGGACTTGCCGTTGGAGGGAGGATCTGAGGCTGGGGGTCTGGCGCTGACGCAAGAGATCCGGGCAGACCTCTGGAAGTGCATGCGTATTCCAGTGGTTGTTCTTCTGGTCAGGGCCGAGATCCGCTGCACACTTGCGCGTCAGTTTGAACGCCACGGTTGTTCATTCGAGCGCCAGGGCAGCCCAGGTCGCGCTTCGCAACACCCGGATGTGGAGGAGGAAGATGCAGCTAACAGAGGTGCAAGAGTGTTAGCACGTAGGAAGAACAGTGGGGCGCATTTGAGCAGTACGTTGCCTGGGTAGCGAAAGAAACACTGAGGAGCGGGTTTCGAGCGGGATCATCATGGCGTGATGCAGCCGTCCCCAGCAATCACGAGTCTCAAAAGGCCATGCGGACGATGAGTTCGGTTTCTCGCCGGGATTCTTGGGATGCATTGCTCGTGTGTCTGGATATAGCCAATCACGCATCGAGCTGTCATGCCGCGGAGCAGGCAAATTGTGGTCGAGTGGATCTTCTAGTCTGGGTAGTCGAAGGCCAGATTGCCAGATTGGATTGGGCCCATGGGGCCAATCTGGCTTGAGTCCCCTGTGGCTTCCAATCTGGCGCCAGCCGGGCGCAGTCCAATCCGGCGGCATCTTCTCAATCGGATTTTCTCCCCCGTCTCGACTATGGTTTTGATCCTCTGGCCCTACGTTTTCTCTATACGTATATATATATATATATATCGCAAGGGCGAGCCAGATTGAATCGGTTGACAGATTGCCAACTAGTAGTTGTGCTCGGAATTTTGTCCCAGGGAAGCGCTTGAGATTGGCAAGCGTACAGATCGCAGTTGTGGGGTCAACTTGTGGATCAGTGCAGGCAAGCGTGTGCCAGCCGAGATCTAATATCCGGAACATACAAGCCGCATCGTTTTCCAATCGCAAAATAGAAGCCGCACCTTTTTGGACATCACAGTCGTGTGGTGTATAACGACCACAGTCCAGAGCAATCTCTATCGCGAGACGAGTGATCGAATACGATGCCAGGACAGTGTGATCTCCTGGAGGCCGAACGGTGCGAACACTCGAAGCGAATGATCTCCAGACCCCCTGCGCCAATCAGCGCAGTGTGGAGTTCGATGGAGGGTCCCTTGTCATTTACGACCGTCCACCTTCCGCGCCGAAGGCCGCCGAAGAGCAACATATGGGCAACACCAGGCCTATGGCCGAACACGGGTCCAGCTCGAGCGCGCCGCCGTCCCTGTCCCTGCCCTCGAGCACGCTGTTTGATCTCCGTCGGGGCGATCGTCGTAGACCCCCACGACTCCGAGGAGCAAGAGACCATGAACGTGTCTGAACGCTGGTCAAAATCATGACCCTCTCGCTCCATGCCCCCTTCCCCGGATCCCGAGTGTCAGTAATCTGCCGCCGAATCATAATTGGTTAAGGATCCCACTATGCATTTTTTTGCCGCACAGGGGACGATGCGATACATGTGTATATATACATATATATGTATATATATATATATATATATATATATATTCCTATAATTATACATCCTGTAAGGAAAAATCCCCCCCGGATGGCCCACCCCCCCCCCACATACCTTCTTGGACGGCCGCCCTTGGCCCCCGGGCCCCTTTCCAGCGGACTACCAAGCCCTCCAGGTCACCGAACGATGCGCGAAACGCTCTTAATGGCCCCCCAGCGGCCCAAGACGCCCGAGGACACCGGCCCAAGATGCCTCAGATGACACCGCGACCGCCCCGAGGCGACCCAAGACGGCCCAAGAGGCACCCAAGAGGCCCCCCCAAAGGGCCCCGCGAGGCCCAAATAGCCCCATTCCCATCGTAAAAAGTACATTCTCAACATATTCGCCTCTAGGCCTTTCATAACGTCCAAGTCGGCCCAAGAGACTCCCAAGACGGCCCAAGAGGCTCCCAAGAAGGTCCCAAGACGCCCAAAGAGAGCCCAAGAGTGCCCCAAGGGCCCCCAAGACAGCCCAAGAGACCATCTGGACGGGCCGCACAGGCGTCCCAGAAAACGAAAACCAAGTTCAAATTTCAAGCCTTCGGCTTCAAGAGGCCCATAGGATGCCCCCAGAGGCCCCCAAGAGGCCCCACGGGGCCCCAAGAGGCCCCCAGAGGCCCCCAAGAGGCCCCCAGGCGGCCCCCAAAAAGCTCCCATGAGGCCCCCAGGACGCCCCAAAAAGCTTCCAAGAGTCCCCTCCCCGGACGCCCCGAGCCACTCCTGGCGATCGCGAGGCTTCTGACAAGGAGAGGCAACGAATGGGCTTCCTGACGCGCTCTTGGGCCGTCTTCGAGCTTAAGGTGCCCCAATCAAGGCCCAACAGGTCCCAGAAACGCCCAAGGATAGCTTCCCCGGGGTTCCCAAGAGACCCTCCAGAAACAACTGACCCGGAGACGCACCCAACCCTTTGTACACAAGAGGCGACTATACCCAGGACCGTTAATTTCCAACTTACGCCTTGAAGGATTCGCAGTATCCTTGAACGCTTCGCCAAAGAACGTGAGGCCGCAGATCAGTGTTCCCCATTCACGGCATCACTCTTGCGACTTATATCATCGGAAAGAGGGCGATCACGACCTGCCAAAGGAGCAATGACGAGGGGGCCACGAACGTGGCGACAGCTTCGCTGTTCGAAGCACCCCGGGACGGCGAGGCCTCATTCTGGTCCGCGGATCACGCCTCTCCGCTGGACCCGCCAGCGGCCCACGAAGGTAGTGACAGTTTCGCACATCGCAACCCCCCACTCGTTCCCTCGTTCCTTTCCCAGTTTATCATTTTCCTCTTCCTCCTGTTCTGACTCCCTCCTCGTCCTATCTCGCCCTCCTGGTGTCATCCTCCTCCCCCTCTGTCCTCTCCTCTCTCTCTCCCTCCTCCTTTCCTCCTCACCTTCCCCGACCGTCTCTCTCTCTCTCTCTCTCCCTTTTTCCTCGCCCTCCTCTCCTCTTCTTCCCTTCATATCATTTCCTCCTCTCCTTTCCCGATCGTCTCACTGCAATGCTCTGCCCTCTCAGAGGGCTACTGATTCCCAAGAGAAGCGCGACGACCATGCAGCATGCAGTCTGTTTGGCCCGGGGGACGTCCAGAGACAAGTTTCGGGTGCGTCTTTGCGGAGGTGGCCGCGACCCCCCTCGTGGTCACCGGTCCCTCTAACCCTTCATCGGTGACTATGGCCTCGTCGCGGTATGTCGCCGTCTCCCAAACACAGGAATGCTTATGACCCGTCCGGGAATTATGACGGACCGCCACCCCTCTCACGGTCATCACGTGCTTGTAGACGTCATCCATTCACCGAGTGTTCGGGTGCGCATGGCCGCAGGACCAAGATTGAGGCGAAGCGAAGCGAGCCCTCAAATCTTGTATATGTATACATACATAGATGTATAGACATATGTATACATACATATATATATATATATATAGAGATAAACGTATATATGCACACATATATATATATATATATATATATATATATGTGCACATGCACGCTGGAAGATGAGGCCCAGGGGCCCAGCCCAGGGACGCCCGCACCCCATGGGAGATCCGGGCTCCAGACCGCCCCCAGATTGTTGCCAGGCGCGCTCATGGCCGGGAAGACGGCTCCAGCTCGCACACAGTACGGCCACCAGACCCTCCCAGAGGCCCCCAAGACTCCCAAGAGGCTTCCGAGAGCACTCCCGAGAAAGCGCCAAGAGGCCCAAATCGTCGAACCCCCCCCAGGAGACATACAATTTTAGTATATCCACGGCTCCTCGGTTCTCACGGCGTTCAAGACAGCCCAAGAAGCACCCAAGACCGCCTCACGACAGCCCCAACAGCCCCCCCCAGGAGAGCCACAAGACGAGCCAAGAGGGCTCCAGGACGGCCTCAGGGCCGCAAGGCAGCCCCACGAGAGACTACAGAAACCCGAAGAGGCCCCCAAGAGGCTTTAAGAGATCCTCCAACAGGCCTCGAGAGACCCAAGAGATGCCCAAAAGGCCACCACAGGCCCCGTCCGCGGCGTTCACGACAGCCGAAGAGGCCCCCCAAACCGCTCCAAGACAGCCCCAACGGCTTCAAAGATAGCCACAAGCAGGCCCCAGAGTCGCGCAAGACCTCCCAAGTCAGCTGCAAGGCGGCCCCTAGAAAGACTCCAGAAACCCGAAGAAGTCCCCAAGAGGCTTCAAGAGATCCTCCAAGAGGCTTTGAGAGATCCCCAGGAGGCCTCAACAGACCCCAACAGGTACCCAAAAGGCCCCCACAGGCCCCATCCGCGGCGTTCACGACAGCCCAAGAGGCCCCCCAAACTGCTCCAAGACAGCCCCAATGGTCCCCAAGATAGCCCCAAAACGGCTACAGAGCCGCCCAAGACCTTCAAGGCAGCCCCAAGAGCGGTTCCAGAGACCCGAAGAGGCCCCCGACAGGCTTCAAACGACCCCCAACAGGCCACCAAGAGGCTCCCACAGGCCCAAATGCGAGATTTTCTCAGACGCAACGCGTTTCGGATGGGAGCTGG